ACCTCCGTGGTCACTGTCACATGTGCCAGCTCTGGTAGGGGCTCTGCAGGCTCAACTCAGCTTCTTCTATTATGCTTCCAGGTAGGTTTTAGTGTTTCCTTTTTAGAGAAAGAACCCCGAGCAGGGGAAGGTGAGACCCAGTAACCACCCAAATTCACAGAGCTGGGATCGATCCAGGCCTGTGTTAGTCCAGAGCCAATGTCCACCTCTGACGATTCTGTTCAGGACAGTAAATGGAGCTGGGAAGGATAGATTTAAAAGTCCGGGGGGGAAAGAGCTCACTTTTAAATCCCCCTCTTACTACTTTAGGACATTTTGTGTTGAATTTGCTTCCTGTTATGTAAATGATGCTCAAATGTTTGAGTGACAGGAATTTGTGGCACTCCCGGCATGAGGTAAGTACTACTAGTGGCCAGCAGGAGGCGCTGTGTTACATGCCTCTGGATAGTGACTCCAGACCCGTCATCACAACCTCTGCTGTAGGCGTCATCTCCCTAGTTTACAGATGGGGAAACCGAGGTACAGAGAGTGCGCTTCAAGGTGAAGAGATGGGGATGTGAGAACTGGACCAAGACCGCCTGTCTCAGGGGTCTGGGCTCGAAACCACAAGGCCACTCACAAGCACAAGGTTTGCCAAATTTCTCCTCAAGAACCACAGTCTGAAAGAATGGAATGAGTGAGAGAAGAGGAACCTTGTCGGGTTGTGGAAGGCAGCCCCACAGGCAGGTGGGGCCTTGGGAAGGCGGCTGGGACACCTGGGTGGGGGCTGGGCTCACACCCTGCAGGCAGTCCCGCAGAAGAACAGCTCGACGGTCGCCCCCACTCGGCAAGAGCTGCTGTCTGCCTGGTGTCTCAGCCCCAAAGGTGCTCAAGCCTAAACGTGCTCCGCGCTTGCTGCTGAGCCCACGGCCGGGTTCGGGTGGCGGCTCTGACCCCCGTGCCTGGCCTGGCCTGATCCTCACGTGTTTTCCTGGGGCCCCTGACTGCCCGTCTCCCTGCCTTGTTTTCTCCTTTTGTAAACGTGGAGGATGCACAGGGGTACCAGGAGTCAGTGGGCAGGATGCCGGGAAACAATGGCTCCTGCCAGGTGTCACAGCCGTGGAGCCTGTGCTGAGCCCTGTGTCAAAGGCAGCTTCATTCTCCACGAAGCCCAGGGCACCTGGGCCCTTCGGGACACACCTTCCCTCGCTCTGCATCGGATCTCTGCCTGCCAGCCCTTCCCCTCTCCACCTGCTCAGACCCAGCGTCCAGTTGGGAGAGGAGCCCAGGCCCCAGTGGGCTTTCCACTCAGGTGCGAGCACGTGATCACGGCTGGGATTTGTGGAACTCAACCTGAGCGAGTGAGGTCTCCGAGCTGTGACTGGAGCACTGGGCAGTGGGCGGGCGGTCACCGGTGAGCTGCCTTCTCAGAGGCCTGCGCACCTTTGCTCAGGTGAACAGGCACGTCTTGGCTACCCAGCGGGGGAAGAGGTGTGGGCACTGACTTGGCATGAAGCCTGCAGCCGTGCCCACCACAGCTGTCCTCCAAGAGAATCGATTCTCCACGGCAGGGCCTGTTTGGGACCAGTGTCCGGGGACCCCAGGCCATCTCTGTGGCCACTGTGGCGGCAGGGAGGCACCCAAAACAGAGATTTCAAAGGCCTGTCTCTGGGGCAAGTCCCAGCTCCACAGAAACGGACCTCCCTGGACTGGGCTGAATGGGGACACTTGGGTGTAGGTGTCAACTATAACGTGGGTGGCCTGACACCCCAAGAGATGCCCCTGTTCCCAGTGCATCTTTCCAAACCCATTTACGCCTATGACACGCACTGAAGATGCTTTCCTCTGTGAGCAGAGTCCATCTGCTCACCCAACTCGCAGCGCTGCTCCTCGGTGGCCCCGCAGCCACGCGGGGTGGGGGCAGTGTGCTCACCACCTTCCCACAGGCCTCCCTCCTACGGCTCCTTTTGCCCAACGTCCACCCTTCGGCCCAGTTCTCTCGGTTCTTTCGTAGAAAAGCGTTTACCACGGATGCGGGCGTTCCCGAGGCTGGTCTCAGGAGGCGACTAAGCACTGGGAAATCCCACCATAGATGTGCCTTCCACCCGCGTCACAGGCTCCCGAGATGGAAATGTTAGAGTTGCTTCTCGTGGAAGGAACGAAGATCTCACAGTTGAATTTTTACCAAATCACAAAGATTTAAAAATTAGTGCACTGTAATATATACAAATTATGTTTCCATATTGGTATCAGGGGTAATCAGCCCGAATGAACAGAAAAAGAGCAAAAGAGAATATACCTCTGTTTGTTTTCTATGCTCGTACGTGTGTTTCCCTAATTAGTTCGGTGTCACTTGCTCGAACCCACGCCTAACATCTACACACGCAGCGTGGGGTCTGGGTCCTGAAGGCGGTGATCTGGGGCACATGTCCTGCCTCCAGAATCTGCTGCTTGTTCTACAGGAAGTCGAGTGATCTGCCAACGCCCCACTTCCCAGAACAACACAACACCTATGGGCAGGGGACTGTGGAGATAAACGACATGTAGTCCCAGGGCCAGAACAGAGTGGTCATAAGAGAAAAAGGGCTTCGGATCGGGACCACCAGGTTCCAGTCTCGGTCCTGCCCATCCCCAGGCCACTCCCGTAGGATCGGATCTGAGCTGAACTCCCCCGTCTGGAAAGGGGGATGAGGACCCCTCCCTCTGCCCACCGGCTGCACCGAGGACAACACCGACCAGTGGACAGGCTCCTTGGATAGGGCCTGGCTCTTAGTGACACTCTGCAGTCATCGGTGTTTCTGGGTACTGAGTGACCACTTTAAAAAATAAAGTGGGGAGGGGGTCCATTCGGTGCAACACTCGAGGCCTCAGGTTACAGTAACAGTCAGAATCTCAGGATGTGAAGTCCAGAGAGAATCATTTTATAGACAGAATATGTGATGACATACATCCAGAGACTGGCAATCAGAGAGGCCCTTCGATAATTTATTTTATGCAATTATATGAGTTCCATAACATACTATTAAAGGCCGTATGAAATGAGACAGTGTGCGTACAGATATTAATCTTAAAAGAAACTCAAAGTAAATGAAGAATGATCGTGTCGCTTAATTGAAGGTTCATAAATGTAACTGAACACTGAGCAGATACGAGGAGACAATGTGAGGGAGGCCTGGCTCTGGGGCATTATTTACTCCAATAGACCTAGGGTTGCCTTGGAGACTCCGAGTTTGCAGTGTTACCTGATATTTACAGATTTTAGAGAGAGAGGCACGTGTCACGGTACCTCCCCACCCATGGCTTTGGGGAGGCAGAGGGGTGGGTTACCTGATCAATCAAGGCTGAGAAGTTCCCACTTCTGCGAATCGTCATACCTGTCATGAGCTTCAGCCCACCAGTGTCTCCAGGGGCCCCATCAGCAGTCTCAGTGGGAGTGTCTGCCTCCTTCCTGCCCCCCAATTTTATATACAACTACATGTGAAACCGAATGTCATGGCTCATTTTTTAAGGCGGAGAGCCAATAAGCCAATTTGTTGTGGAAAATGCATACACATACGAAAGAAAACATATCTGATAAGGACACAGTGAAGAGAAATGATTTGTACCTTAAGTTGAAAAACTAACATTAAAAAATAGTGAACGAGCATTTTAGTACCCTTTAAAATACCACAAAAAAGATACTTGGTCCTGTAGGTATTGGGACTGTTGCTAAAATGCTATTATTTTTCTCTCTTGTTTTATCTTTCTTGAACGAATGCTTTGAAAGAAGATACCACGGGGGTCAAGCTCCATTGGTACCTTATCGGATGACAATTCCCCTTGAGGAATGAAAAAAAATTATGATTAAAAAATAGGTCTTTAACAAGGCATCATGAAGATGTAGTTTTGTTTTCCAGATTCATTTATTTTTTTTTCCTGGCCGAGAGCAGGGCTTTCAGCGGTGAGACCGGAGCAATTGTGAAAGGAAGAAAAGAAGGGCAGCGATATAAATCAGCGGAGGTTAATGACTGGGATGTGAAGAGGGGGACTTGTTTACAGAAATACCGTGCAATTTAAAATTTACAAGAGATTTAATGCCACCGCCTGGCAATCGCTAAAATCAACAGCCCAGAAAACAGTGACATTAAGAAAAATATTACAGTTATAATCATCCCCAAATAAGTCAATTAGTGTGAGGGCGCCGGCTCGCGATTACTTGACCCATTTGGCTTGCACTTAAGTGAAAAAAAATGTCCCCCTATTATACCGAGATCGCTGGATTGTGACCTGCTTTGCATCGCACATAATGTACGCCAGCCCCCTGCGCGAGGGCTTGGGCTGAGGGTGGAGGGGGTCCCTTGCTTGGCATCAGAATAATTCTGACCCCTGACATTTGTAATCATAAAAAAAGGCAATTTATAATTGTGTTGTTCAAATGAAGGTGGGGAGGGAAATTCAATCTGCTATTATACAAAAGCAATGACGGCTGTCTTCGCGGAAAAAAGCAACGCAAGTCAATTTGTGAACTTTGGCACCGGACGACCTTTAGAAACACAACAATATACCGAATTTACAAGCAATAGCAGCCCATGCAAATGACCCGGGCCGGGCCTCCGGATCAGAGCTGCGCGGAGCATTACCGAGAATGCGTCCACAAAACAAATTAAGACTGTTGCTTAAATGTCACGGCGCACTATTGTGTTTGGCTACAGATCATTACACCTGATACTAACACTTTTAAAAACTGTAATAACTTGGGAAATATTACGTTGAGTGCCCACATGTATAAAGCAAAAGAAAAAAGAGGAGGAAATAGGTTTCTGAAGTAATTTAAACATCACCACTCTATGACTGAAGGGAAAGGTCAGAATTTAAGTAAGCTGAAAGGAACATGAATGGCAAAATAAAACACACAAACAAAAAGATGGAAAGACCACAGGAATGAGTCTGCAAACACAATAGGGGTGCATGCGGCTTCGGGCTGCATTTCCATGTCTGCAGGGGGTGGGGGGGGAGTGCTGGCGGAAGGGGGACAGCGTTACCTTCAGTGTTGGTGCTGCTGCTGCTGTATATATTTCGCAGGCTACCAACACGGTTTAGTTTCCATGCTTTGCGTTTGGCTGCATCCAGAGAGCAGAAAGGGGAGAGGGGGAGAAAGACAGAAAACAAAAAGGAGAAGAAATCAAATGAAAAGGGGAGAAAAGAAATGTCAAAGTAGCACGTGACATCACGTCCATCTGTTCCCGGAGGGGCGGTGGGTGCTGGTGGGTCCCCGCTGGTCCCTTCCCGCCCCCCCACCCCACCCCCACCCCCCACTGCCAGCCTGTAGCCCAGGGAACCTGGGCAGGACAGAGGCGTGCCTGCCAGTGTCACTAGGTTTGCACAGAATCAAACAGAGGCCCAGGCACCCTGGTTTTACACGTGGCTACTTCCAACCGTGCCAAGCTGGCCTTTTCCTTGGGGACTGGTGGCATCTTTTGAAGGAGCTATGATGCCAGTAGCCATGAGCCCTCTGATTTGGCAAAACCTGGCAGCATGTCAAATCTAGAGCTCCTGGTGATGAGCAGTTCCTGTGTGTGCTGCGGACAGAGGTCTTAACACTCAGCTGATAAAAGATGAAGCCCTCCCCGCACCCCCCCCCCCGACCAGACATATGAGCATATTTGGATCTGGACAGTAATCACGTCAGCAAAACCCTGCTACCACCTGGCTGCTGCTGAAGGGTGGAGGCCCCTTCTTACGGGCCTCCGGGGGCTCTGGATGGAGCTCCCAGGACCCCCAAAAACACACGTGCCTCCTTAGGCGCTCAGCTCACTGGAGGAAGCATCAGAAAGAAAAAGCAAATACCAAGTTACCCAGAGAGGAGTAAGTGACCCACGGAGGAACCCTGGGTTGGGAAGTCAAAGGCAGAACCAATCTAACACGGGAGGACCCCACACCTCACACTGTGCAGTGACTGGTTGGGGTGAGAGGGGCCCCGATGCTCCTCTGGGGAGACAGTCTCAGTTCATCAGCCGACCCCCTGGACTCAGGACATGAGACCCGTGAAGGACCCTAACCAGACCACCTGTCTCTCTCCATGTCCACAGCCGGGAAGAGAAACTGGTCAGCCCTCCCATGAGGCTCTTTGGATGACCGTGCACACCTGGGGAGGCAGGTGCCTGTATCTGCACAGGAGTCTTGATGCTCACAGCACAGAAACGAGGCCTGCACTGGGCAGGGGACAGCTCTCTCACGCCCACCCGCTCCTCACTTAGGACGGGTTGGCTGCTCCTGCCTGTGGTGGGGTTTACCTCAAAGAGTGTGGTGTAGGCTCCGGTGTGCCCAGTTCAATGACCTGGGGGAGGACTGGGTCTCCAGGACCAGTTCTGCTGCGGAAGCGAACCCCCAGTGCCTGGGTGCGTATTGGGTTTCTTTGGAGTGACGATAGAACATACATGCACAAAATGTGGACATTCAAGGAAGCAGATGCAATTCTGAAGCAGCACAGTTCTGTGCATTCAGAGGCAAACTTTATATAATGGTGAGAAAAAGAACTAGCTGTCATTTACTTGTCACCTGATTTAAAGAGAAACAGTTAAATTTTAACTAAACACCTAAGAATGACTTGGTAGCTTCAAAACAAGAAATAATAAGAAATGCAATCTCGAAACGAGTAGGCGTCTACAGTGTATGGGTCTAAACTTAATTTTTTCATGGGTGGAGACGTCTCCCTCATCTCTACATCCTCAAGGTATCGATAGGTACCCGTCCCAGGTAACAGCACACCTGGGAAAGGGCCTTCAGGTACCCACCAGTACAAACGTCATGCCTACAAGGAACCGAACTGGTCAGTTTTCAAGTGTTTCCTTTAGAGACGTTCAGCGGAGAATTACCAGGTTCCTCAGGGGTAACGGACACTTTCGCTGTGCCCTTAATTATTTCAATAGCCGAAGTCCTGGCATCTTGGCCCATAATTCACAAGTTCCAGAAAGTAGCAGTCAGAGAGCCCTGCTCCTCACGGAAAACTAGCCTCTGTGGGCAACATTTACATATAAATAGGCACAGTGTGGTCAGGGCGCAGGAGGGGGAAGCGCCATCGAAAACCCTCTCTGGCCCGCGCTATGCTTGCATTTTTCATGCCCTGGTCTCCCATTACTGTATGGAAGTATAAGCAGGAAGTGAACTCGCAGCCTGGTTTTCTATTAACCTATTGATGAAATAATCAATTTTAATGTGTAGAATGTCATGCCTTTTTCTTCTCCTAAAACAAATGGACTTTTCCTGGCTGATGCCAAGGTCCTGATACGAGCATTCGTCTCCCGGGGCACTGATTGCTCCAAGTCCACTGGGTTAGAAGCTTCAACACGAAAATACAATCGTATGATCATCGCTAAAACCTCAGGCTGTGTGCGACGCGGCTGCCCGGACTCACCTCTAAGGGAAACGGAGGCATCGCACCAAAGGGACCCGGGAGTGCTCAACCTGAGGCTGCTGGCTGGATACCGGGTCCCGCCTGACCACCACACACCTTAGCCACGTGCGGGGGGCACCCCCCGGCTCTCAGGCCTCTGAAATAGGCAGCGATTCTCGAGGACTTCACGTAGACGAGCTCAAAAAACTACATTTTCTGGGTAATCTTTGTTTTAAGAAATTCATTTTTTTTTTTTGGAAAAAAAATTACAGGAATATAGTTTCTTCCATTTAAACGTAGGCTGACTTATTTTGACTTTTGTCACTAATGTTATTTGTTTTTCACAAAAACTATTATTTTAAAACCAGAATTTCACCTGTTATTGGGCAAAGGCAGCAGAGCCTCTCCATGGCCGCCCAGCCTGAGCGAGAGCGACGTTCTGAAGGAGAAAGGCTGGTGAAAGGCCAAGTCACAGGCCCTCTCTGCACGGCGTTGGTGTCTGGTGGACAGAATGAGGAGGGGCGCGATCGCTCACCTCCTCGTAATTGCTCCCAGTCACGGCCTTCTCAGAGGAGACAGGGCGAGGAAAACTCGCAAATCACGGCTGTGCTGAGTAGGAGTTGCTGGAATCACTTAGCGTTAACGTCTCACAATTATTACATGTGGCCGAATTTGGTGGAAGCCACAGCTTTTCCTGAGAGTTCATGCGATGATCACGAGTGAATTAAAATTTTATTTTAAAGGAGAATTTCTATTTTGTTTCTCTAAGCAAAATATTGTTTTCCTCCTTACAGCATGTGAGTGCCTGAGGACTAATCACAGAGAGATCTCCAAGACGAGACTCTTCCGACCAGCGCTTAATAAATGGACTAAAAAGAGTCCTTAGTCTGCTGGCACGCTCCAACGAGCAGGGTTTTATCCTCAACTCTTCCTCCCGCACCGCACCAGGAGACCAGGCCTTACACTAATGTCACCTCTGGTCTCCTTCTACTAGAGCTCTTTGTTGACTGAGTGTTCCTCAGGTAGCTGGTGAAAAGACAACACAGCCAGGAGGGTGCATGTCCGAAGCCTGCGCACCCCACTTATGTCCGAGGGTGAGGGCCAACTGGGCTGGCAAGGTGAGGCTCTGCAGACCCCAGAGTCAATTTTGAGAACGAACAGGGTCTTTTTGTGTGCCACTCACTCCTGACATGTCTCAGAACAAAACAAATACCCCCTCCATCCATTCGAGAGGGCGCACACCTGTGCCTCTCAGAGAAGCCATGTGGTAACCTGGTCAGACAGCACGACCCTGTCCACTTCGGACGTGTAGCTATTTGTTTTAAGGATGCCGTCGGTATAAGGCTGCCTGTGCAGCAGAGAGGAGGCCCGTGCTCCCGGGAGTAGTTCACACTGATGCTGGCCCCAGGACGCCGAGTGGGAAACGCCCCCTCCCTCCCTCGGGACGGGCATAGGCAGGAGCAGATTCCACTGTGGTTTCCTGACTCTTCCAGTTTAGTGCACTCCCGTATCGCCGTGATCTCTGTCCGTGGCGATTTCACTGCGAGGTTAGAGATCGGGGATTTCTTTTGTGCTGGCCTCATGGACGTTCATTTGCTCGACAAGACTGTGTACACATTCTGTTCTCCTCTGAACAGGCTGTGGTGTTTTTCATAAGACGCAGCCCCGAAGATTCACACAGGATGTGAACTCGCTGCTTCTGCTGTGAAGGGGCTTCCTAGAGGCGGCCACACAGAGATGTCGTTGTGTTGAAACACCCATTAAAAGGGCCTTTGAGAGGATTAAACAAAACCCGAGGCCAAGCCAATCTAGGACGTGTGTTCAGGAAGCAGCCTAACTTGGTCGTTGGCAGGTTCCAGCAAGACCAGGGTCCTTTTTGCAATTTGGGGCCCAAGAAGGCAGGATGAATATCTGACGAAGTAAAAGTCCGAAATAAGTAATCAACTCTTCATGATAAACTTTTGATTCAGTTTCTAGTAACTCATAATGGCTTTCTTTACAGCAAATACAATTTCCATGTCGGTGGCTTCGTTTAAAGCTCTCGGATTTGCAAACTGCCAGGGCTTCTACAGAGTGGGCTAATGCAGACACTTACAGAAAATGCCATTAACCCTGGGAAACAGTGAAAATAAAAACTAAGTAAAAACTACAGGATACGCCATAAAACCAGAAGTTCCAATTAGGTAGAGAGCAGTTTTCCTTTCGGCCTGGAAACACACTGAGCGCCGAGCATGGGTTCAGGTGCACCCGGGATTAATTGGGTATTTCTTCCAGCACCAAGAATGTCCACCTGTCACCAGGGCGAAAAGGAGAGGTGACTGCGGGGGACATGCCCTTTATGATAAACCTGTCATGTGGAAGTTTAGTTTGGCATGTTCTCAGGTGGAGATTAGAAATACATCCCTAAGTCGTGGAAACTTCTCTCCTTGTCTTCACAGAGTAGCTGTTCATTTGGAGAAGGGAGAGCTGTTGTTGTTGTTTTTTTTTGGGGGGGGGCTTATTAACAAGTTGAAATTGGGGCTCCTTGGCCTCAGGGTTGATTCTGTTCTGAGTGTAGGATGAGGTAGAACAGGAACTGGCCATGACGTGGCAGCACCAGAAATACTCTGCTTTCGTGTTTTAGGCCTCCCTTCTCAGTGAGCACTGTCACATCCCCCTAATCATTGCGTGGTTGTCCTTCAAAATAGAAACAAACGGCAGACCGAATTCTCACTTCAGAAAACGCGA